GAGCCAGTCTCCATCTTTTTTAATGGCTAAACAGTATTCCACGGTATATATATACCATAGCTTGTCAATCCATTCCTGGGTTGGTGGACATTCCACATTTTGGCAATTGTAAATTGAGCTGCTATAAACAGTCTAGTGCAAGTGTCCTTGTGGTACAAAGAATTTTTTTCCTTCTGGGTATGCCCAGTAATGGAATTGCAGGATCAAATGGTAGGTCTACCTGTACCTTTCTCCACTCACAAAAATTGATTCAAGATGGATAAAAGACCTAAATTTAAGGCATGAAATGATAAAAATCCTCAAAGAAAGCATGGAAAAACACTTAACTTTATGAAGAAGACTTTCGTGGCAATTGCAACAACCACCAAAATGAACAAATGGTCCCTAATTAAACTGAAAAGCTTCTGTACAGCTAAGGAGATAACAACCGAAGCAAATAGATAACCTACACAATGGGAAAGGATATTTGCATATTTTGAATAAGACCTAAGCTTGGTAACTAGGATCTATAGAGAACTTAAACTAATCCACATGAAAAAAGCCAACAATTCCATATGTCAATGGGCAAGAGAGATGAGTAGAACCTTCTCTAAAGAAGACAGACAAATGGCTAGCAAACATGAAAAAATGTGCATCATCCCTAATTATTAGAGAAATGCAAATCAAAACCATCCTGAGATATCATCAAACCCCAGCAAGAAGGGCCCACATCACAAAATCTCAAAACTGCAGATGTTGGCATGGATGTGAAGAGAAAGGAACACTTTTACACTGTTGGTGTGACTGCAAACTAATACAACCTTTTTGGAAGGAAGTATGGAGAACCCTCAAAGAACTCAAATCCACCCATTCTGGCCTCCCAGAGGGGTAGGATTATAGGCATGAGCCACCAAGCCCAGCCAAGAAGTGGTACTTCTAATATCCCAGTGAAAAATAACTTCTATTGAACAAAGAGCATAACAGGTCACACTTACCTCACCAAATAAGCTACAAGTTCACTTATACTTCTCTTTTTCCAGAATGTTAAAGCTACATTCAATCTCAAATTCCTGCTGAACAAAACTTGAGCCATTGTTTCATGGTCCTGAGAAACCTGAAAGGCAATAATCTAATTTGTTAAAAAGAACACTGAAACAAGATATAAAACTATTTTTTTTAATTAAATCATTTGGGTAGACATAGTTTTAAATTATGTGAAGGTGACTCCTTTAATGGCACATAAAAAGAAATTTTACAGTTGAATGTAGTGAACAAATGATCTGAATAAATTCAGAACCTATTTAATTTTTACCAATACTTTTTCTGGCTTGCTACTATTTTTCTTTTAAATCCCAATAATTTGTAAAATAAATTAATGTAGCTGACCCACAAACATAGGACTTAATTCATAACGTAGATAAAAAGAAAAGGTAAACATAGAGGCTAGTCATTACCGACTAAATGGCATGAGAAGGGACACAAACAATTCTGTGATGTTATAGTATCATTTCAATTTGTCTATTTTTTTTTGAGACAGGAGCCTCAAGCTGTCCCCCTAGGTAGAGTGCAATGGCATCACAGCTCACAGCAACCTCCAACTCCTGGGCTCAAGCGAGTCTCCTGCCTCAGCCTCCTGAATAGCTGGGACCACAGGCGCCTGCCACAATGCCCGGCTATTTTTTGGTTGCAGCCGTCATTGTTGTTTGGCGGGCCAGGCTGGATTCGAACCCGCCACCTTGGGTATACATGGCTGGCGCCTTAGCCACTTGAGCCACAGGTGCTGAGCCCAATTTGTCTATGTTTATATAATAAAATATTATTCCTCCATTGTAAAATGTTGAACTACGTAAGAACTACATAAGAGAAAAAACAAATGCTCTCTACCTGCCCACATAAACATCCAATATCACTCTCCAGAAGTAATCAGTCAACAGACTGGTATATATTTTTCCAAACCATTTTCTAGACAAAGACAAATTAAGGACATATATGAAGACTCTGAAAAATTAAAAATAAAATTATCTACATTGTTTAAAACCTACATGAACAGTTTTCAATGTCAAAACAGATTAACTATCAACTTTATTTCTTTTTTCTTGGAAACAGAGTTTCACTATATCACCCTTGGTAGAGTGCTTTGGTATCACAGCTCACAGCAACCTCCAACTCCTGGGCTTAGGCAATTCTCTTGCCTCCACCTCCCAAGTAGCTGAGACAACAGGCGCCCGCCACAACACCTGGCTATTTTTTGGTTGCAGTTTGGCTGGGGGCCAGGTTTGAAACCACCACCCTCAGTATATGGGGCCAGCGGCCTACCCACTGAGCCACAGGCATCACCCCTCAACTTCATTTCTTAAAAATACTTTTTTTTTTTTGAGACAGAGTCTCATTATGTTGCCCTGGGTACAGTGTGGTGGCATCACAGATCACAGCAACCTCTCTTGCCTCAGCCTCCCAATTAGCTGGGACTACAAGTGCGTGCCACAACACCCAGCTATTTTTTGGTTGAAGTTGTCATTGTTGTTTGATAGGCCTGGGCTGAATTTGAACCCACCAGCGCTTGTGTGTGTGGCTGGCGCCCCAGCTGCTGAGCTATAGGAGCTAAGCCTAAAAATACTTTTGTTAAGATTAATTTTACAATTAGAACAGCTAGATCAAGAGTTAGACATATTTGAAATTGGAACAGATAATATGGTTTCACTTTTAGATTTAGGTTTTTAGAACAGGTTCTGATCAATCATGAAAAAAAGGTTTGAGGCTCTGAGCCAGCCACATACACCTAAGCCAGTGGTTTTGAATCCAGCCTGGGCCCACCAAACAACAATGAAATATAGCCAGGCATTGTGGCAGGCACCTGTAGCCCCAGCTACTTGGGAGGCAGAGGCAGGAGACTCGCATAAGCCTAGGAGTTGGAAGGTTGCTGTGAGCTGTGATGCCATGGTATTCTACCCAGGGCAACAGCTTGAGGCTCTGTCTAAAAAAGAAAAAAAGGTTTGAAACAAAAGAATAATCAATAAACTTACTAGTTCAATATGAGGCCTAAGGAAGGCTTGTGAAAAGTAGTGAAAATAAGAAAGCAATGTAAAAGGAGGGTCCTGAGAAAAACATCTCACAATGGTAATATACAATTCAAATTTTTTTTCTTTAAAGGCACTTGCACTCACAAGTTTATTCCCTAGTTCAAGTGAAGAACCAACCTAGGATCCAATCTAGGTCAGATTTCTAGGTTATATAGTTACATGGTTCATTTCCTTCAGAGTATGTATTATAGTTTCTATAATTATTTGATCAGTGTTGGCCTCATTACTTTGATAACTACATGCAAGTATGGGTAGTATCTGTTTTTCATCCACTGGTCTATTTCTCCTCAGATCCTGCGGAGGACATTCAACATTACAACACAGCAGAATTGGCCAGGCAAGATGGCTCATGCCTGTATTGCTAGTGCTCTAGGAGGTGAAGCGGGAGGGGCCCTTAAACTCAGGAGTTTGAGACCAGCCTGCTTGAGCAACAGGGAGACCCCCATCTCTACTAAAAATAGAAAAAATTAGATGGGTTTGTGGCAGACACCTATAGTCAGGAGGCTGAGGCAGGAGGATCACTTGAACACAGGATTCTGAGGTTGCTATAAGCTAGGCCAACACCATGGCACTCGAGCAACAGAGTAAGACTCTGTCTCAAAAAAGAAAACAGCAAGTTTAACATATGCAAATCCGTAACTGTAATTCACCAAATCAACAGAAGCAAAAACAAAGACCCTATGATTCTCTCAATAGATGCAGAAAAAGCATTTAATAAAATTCAGCATCCTTTTCTAACAAGAACACTTAAGAAAACAGACATAAGTGGCACATCTCTTAAGTTGATTGAAGCCATCTATAACAAATCCACAGCTAATATTATACTGAATGGAATAAAACTGAAAGCTCTTCTACTTAGAACTGGAACCAGACAAGGGTGTCTTCTCTCACTACTATAATACAACATAGCCATGGAAGTTCTAGCCAATGCAATCAAGCAAGAGAAAGGTATAAAGGACATCCAAATGGGAGAAGACAAGGTCAATCTCTCACTCTTTGCTGATGATATGATCTTATACTTAGAAAACCCCAGACATTCAACTTCTGGAAGTAATCAAGAAATACAGTAACGTCTCAGGGTATAAAATCAATGTCAACAAATTAGTAGCCCTCGTGGTACACCAATAACAGCCAAGTCGAAAAGCAAATCAAGGACACAATTTCCTTCATAAGAACTTCACAGTGGCTCACGCCTGTAACCTTAGCACTCTGGGAGGCCAAGGTGGGTAGACTGCTTGAGCTCATAGGTTCAAGACCAGCCTGAAGAAGAGCAAGACCCCCATCTCTTAAAACAGCTAGGTGTTGTGGCAGGTGCCTGCAGTCCCAGCTACTCGGGAGGCTGTGGCAAGAGGATTGCTTGAGTCCAAGAGTTTCAGGTTGCTGTGAGCTAGGATGTCACAACACTCTACCAAGGGTGACAAAGTAAGACTGTCTCAAAAAAAAAAAAAAAAGAAAATGAAAATGAAATATAGGAATATTCCTAACAAAAGAGGTGAAGGATCTTTACAAAGAGAATTAGGAAACCCTATGAAAAGAAATAGCAGAAGACATTAACAAATGAAGAACATACCATGCTCTTGGCTGGGAAGAATCAACACTGTTAAAATGTCTATTCTACTCAAAGTAATCTACTGATTCAATGCGATCCCCATTAAAATACCAATATCGTACTTTGAAGAACTAGAAAAAGTAGTATTTGTTTTGTATGGAATCAGAAAATAAATAAATAAATAAATAAATAAATAAAATAAAAATGAAGGCAGAGTCATCACTCTACCAGACTTCAGGTAGTATTACAAGTCTACAGTAATTAAAACAGCACGGTATTGGCATACCATAGACATAGACATATGGAAAAGAACAGAAAACTAAGAGATGAAATCAGTCTCTACTTGCCATGTGATCTTTGATAAATCAAACAAAAGCACACATTGGGGAAAAGAATCCCGTACAAAAAATGTTGCTGGCCGAACTGGATAACCACATGTAAAAGACTAACACTGGACCCACACCTTTCACCACTTACAAAAATTGACTAAAATTTTTATCAAACTATTTCTTCAGACAGGGTATAGTGGCTCATGCCTATAAATAATCCTTGCACTCTGGGAGGCAAAGGTGGGAGAATCTCTTGAGCTCAGGAGTTCAAGACCAGCCTGAGCAAAAGGACTAGACTTCATCTCTATTTTTTTTTTTTTTTTGCAGTTTTTGGCCGGGGCTGGGTTTGAACCCACCACGTCCGGCATATGGGGCCGGTGCCCTACTCCTTTGAGTCACAGGCGCCACCCTTTTTTTTCTTTTTTTGACCTCATCTCTATTAAAAACAAGAAAGTTAGCTGGGTGATGTGACAGGTGCCTATAGTCCCAGCTACTTGGGAGGCTAAGGTAGGAAGATTGCTTAATTAAGCCCAGGAGTTTGAGGTTGCTGATGCCACAGCACTCCAGACTGGCATCAAAAGAGAGACTCTGTCTCAAAAAACCAAAATTTCTTCAAATGGCCATTTTTTTTTTTTTTTTTGAGACAGAGCCTCAAGCTGTCCCCCTGGGTAGAGTGCTGTGGCATTACAGCTCACAGCAACCTCCAACTCCTGGGCTCAAGCGAGTCTCCTGCCTCCGCCTCCCAAGTAGCTGGGACCACAGGTGCCCGCCACAACGCCTGGCTATTTTTTGGTTGCAGCCGTCATTGTTGTTTTGGCGGGTCCGGGCTGGGGATTCGAACCCGCCACCTTAGGTGTACGTGGCTGGCGCCTTAGCCGGTTGAGCTATAGGTGCCAAGCCCAAATGGCCATTTTTATAGAAACTATTTTACTGAGGTATAATTTATATATGTACTCATTAACTATAATCTGTTATTATTTATCCACTAACTGAGGTATAATTTATATATTTTACTGAGGTATAATTTATATATTTACCCATTAACTATAATCTGTTATTCAATAGTTCTTAGATATATACAGTTGTGCAACTATTATCACAAGCCAAATTTAGACAATTTCTATCATCCTCAAAATTCCCTTGAGCCAATTAAAACAACCAATTATGGGCTAGGTATAGTGGCTCAAGCCTGTAATCCTAGCACTTTGGGAGGCCAAGGCAGGTGGATTAACTAAGCTCAGGAGTTTGCGATTAGCCTGGGCAAGAGCAAGACCCTTTTATACTAAAAATAGACAAACTGGCTGGAGGTTGTTGCAGGTGCCTGTAGTTCCAGTTACTCAGGGGCTGAAGCAGGAGGATCAGCTGAGTCCAAGACTTTGAGGTTGCTGTGATGCCATAGTATGTTACAGAGGGCAAGAAAGTGAGTGTCTCTCAAAAGAAAAATAAATAAATAAAACAACCAATTATACACGAGCCAGAGAGCAGCAAGCCATAGCAGGTTTGCCTAAACAAAACTTTTTTTTTTTTTTTGCAATAGAGTCTCACTACGTCACCCTGGGTAGAATGCTGTGGTGTCACAGCTCACAGCAACCTCAAATTCTTGGGCTTAAGAAATTCTCGTACCTCAGGCTCCGAAGTAGTTAGGACTACAGGCACCTGCCACAATGCCCGGCAATTTTGTTGTTGTTGTTATTATTGTTGTCATTATTGTTTAGCAGGCCCAGGCTGGGTTTGAACCTGCCAGCCCTGGTGTATGTGGCCGGTGCCCTAACCACTGAGCTATGGGTGCCAAGCCTAAACAAAGCTTCTAATAGGCAATTTTGAAAGTCTACCAAAAATATGCTCAATAATTGCTCTGCTTTTTAGTCAATATTTTTCCTTTATTTTTATTTGTGTGTTTGTGGGGGAGGGGAATCCAAGACACAGAGAATGAGAGAGGGAGAGAGCACCTCACTCTGTCACCTAGGCTACAGTACAATAGTGTGATCATACTTCACTGCAACCTCAAACCCCTAGGCTCAAGCAATCCTCCCACCTCAGCCTCCCTGGAGTGTGTGCCATCACACATGGCTAATTAAAAATATATATACATTTTGTAAGGATAGCATCTTGCTATTGCCCCGACTGCTGGTCTCAAACTATTGGTTGCAAGTAAATCTCCTGCTTCCACCTACCTGAGTGGTAGGATCACAAGCATGAGCCACCATGGCCAGCCTCCATTTCCTTGCTTTAAATCTGTACTAGCCAACTTAGTATTCTGGGTGTTTATAGCCAGCCTATTAAATATTTCATTCTACCTTAGGGAAAGTGAAAGCAATTACTTGTCCAGATGTGCTTAATCTAGAAAACTGTTTCAGGGAGTTAAAAATAAGTCTGAATTCAATGGGTAGTAAGTTATAATATGCCGAAGGAAAAAAACCCAGTAGTAAAATATGAATAAAATTAAGCTAGAAATGACAGGGAAATAACTTACCTCAGAAAAAAACCCACTGTATTTTGATGATGGACTTTCTGTTTGTGAAGAACTAGAATCACTGGAGTTAATCAAATATGTTCGACTATCATGGTGCAATTTTTCAGGCAAGTGGCCTGCACAAGCCAGTTCATTTTCCTTATTTGCCATGTCACAGCCCCCACTTTGAGGGGACTGTTTTTTTCTGTAACAAGGACTTGGAAAGGAATGACGAACTTTCTTTCTGTGATAAATCACCTTATGCAGTTTATCTGGATTTTTCACAGCTTGTCCAACTGTTCTGTAATAAGAATTTATTTTCTTAAATGAAAAAGAACTATATGACAACCTTGAAAGTTTAAACAGAGACTTAACAAGCTACATTTTGTGATCCTAATCCACTAAAATTAGAAGTAAATAGAATAATTTAAAAAACTTAACTCTTAGCTTAAGGAAGAAAATAAAAAGGAAATAATAAATTATCTGGAAGACAATAAAAGGATGATGCTTTATACCAAATAAAAATAAAAAGGGGCATAGTAAGTACATGCTTTTAAAATAAAAAAATTAAAGACTATTCTGAGAATAAGAAAATTGCAATACTCTCTAGATATTTAATCTTTTTTTTTTTGGAGACAGAGTCTCACTTTGTTGCCCTTGGCAGAGTGCCATGGTGTCATAGCTCACACTCACAGCAACCTCAAACTCCTGGGCTCAAACAATTCTCTTGCCTTAGCCTCTCTAGTAGCTGTGACTATAGGCAGCCACCACAAAGTTTGTCTATTTTTAGAGCGGTCTCACTCTGGCTCAGGCTGGTCTTGAACCTGTGAGCTCAGGTAATGTACCCACCTTGGCCTCCCAAGTGCTAGGATTATAGGCATGAGCCACCAGGCCCGACCCTACTTAATCTTTTTCTAACAAAGTGACAGACTGTATAAATTTGAATATTTTAAAGTTTATTTTAATTAAGGTGAAGTATATTTAAATTTGTCTGAGTAAGACAGAACATAATAGGCCACATCTTGGTTAAGCAAACTGGTTCTCAAATGTTTTGTGGCCAGGGTGCTTTCTCCTCTTAAAAATTATTTTTTAAATTAATTTTTTTCCTTTTAGAGACAGGGTATTACTCTCTAACCCAGGCCAGAGAGCAGCAGCATAATCATAGCGTACTGCAACCTCTTAACTCCTGTCATGCAATCATCCTGCCTCAGCCTCCCAAATACCTGGGGACTACAGGCATGTGCCATGATACCCAGGTAATTTTTAAATACTTTTTTGTAGAGATGGGGCTTCAGTATGTTGCCCAAGTTGGTCTCTAACTTCTGGCCTCAAATGATCCTCCAAACTTGGCCTCCTAAAGTACTAAGATTATAGGTATGATCCAGCATGTCTGTTCTGCCCACTTCAAAATTATTAATGACTCAAGAAAATCTTTTTGATGTTTATTGTATCAGAAGCTAAAACAGAAAATTAAAAAATACTTGTTAATTTGTTCCAAAAATAATGCCTCTGGCTGGGCACAGTGGCTCATGCCTGTAATCTTCACACTCTGGGAAGCCAGGACAGGTGGATTTCCTGAGCACAGGCATTCAAGACCAGCCTGAGCAAAAGCAAAACCATGTCTCATCTAAAAATAGAAAAACTGGCTCAGCGCCTGTGGCTCAGGTGGCTAAGGCGCCAGCCACATACACCTAGGGTGGTGGGTTCGAATCCAGCCAGGGCCTGCCAAACAACAATGACGGCTGCAACCAAAAAATAGCCAGGCGTTGTGGCAGGCACCTGTGGTCCCAGCTACTTGGGAGGCGGAGGCAGGAGACTCACTTGAGGCTAGGAGTTGGAAGTTGCTGTAAGCTGTGATGCCACGGTACTCTGCCCAGGAGGACAGCTTGAGGCTCTGTCTCAAGAAAAAAAAAAAAAAGAAAAAGAAAAAAAAAAAAGAAAAATTGAGGCAAGAGATTGCTTGAGCCCAAGAGGTGGGTGTTGCTGTGAGCTATGATGCCAGGGTACTCTACCCAGGGTGACAGCTTGAGACTCTATCTCAAAAAATAAATAAATAAAAATAAAAATTAATGCCTCATTACACATTAACATAGAACATTTTACCCCAACCCCCCCAATTTTCCAAAACAAATAATCTGGTTTAACAAAAGACAGCTGGATTCTCATTCTCATCCAGTCTATTGTGATATCAAATGTCATGTACCCTGTGGAAAACTCCATGGTAAACTTCTAAGAGAGTGAAAAGGAAGAAGATGAATAATGTCTTAGTATTGGTATGAAAATAATTTAGACCTCACAAATTCCCTTGAAAGGTCCTCAGGGACTTTCCCAGGCTCTCTCAGATCACACTTTGAGTACCAATAGTTTTGTAGAATATACCTTTAGAGTTTGAATGTCATCTTTACTACTTTCTGGCTGCATGGTCCTGAACAAATCACTTAACTTGTCTGATCTTCAGTTTTCTCATCAACTGTGAGGGGTCATAATACGTAATGAGTAGGATGTTGCAAGGAACAGAGATAATATTTATGTTTCCTGGCACAGAGGAATTGTGTTTCCTAGCACAAAGGAATTGTTTGACAACAAATTAGCTATTATTATAATTAAAAAGAATGTTTAATTTTTTCCCGTATTTTCATTCTAACCTCATGTTCAATATTTATATTTCTCCACAAATTTTAAAGAACCTCTTACCTATTTATGTAAGCAGCCAACTGTTTTGGAGATTTCTTAACCTGAAAAATGAAAATAGATGGCTGTAGCATATTTATGTTAGAGTTATATAAACTTTGTGATTGATACCAACAAATTTAAAATCACAAAAGTATGTCTTTTAGATTAGAGTTTTCTCTGTTCTACTGGTGCAGCTTCACAATCATTAGATACAACAACACTGTAGTTAAGTATTTCTGACAAAGCAACACATCCATCTGTCTATTTCCACACCACTAGTTGTATATTATACTGTACTTACAGGGTGTTTAATAAGTTGAATTTTAACATTGTTTAAAATAAATTTTATCAGTGCTAATGAGCATTGCAATGATAACCAAAAAGCATCTCTGTGATTCCCCATAAACTAAAATATTCAAATTACATTACATCAAAACATCAAAGTGGCTAAAATGTCTTTAGAGCTTTTTTTTAAAAAAATACATTAATGCATTTATGGGACAATGTGCTGATTTCATATACAATTTGGAATGCTTACATTGTACTGGTTAATATATGCCCCGCCTGATTTACTTAATTATCGTATTAAGACATTTATACTCTGTACTTAATAGACCTGACATGTACCTTTACAATATGCACTATAGGTGTGATCCCACCATCCACCCTCCCGCCATCTGACCTCCTCCTGCCCCTCCTATCCCCTTCTCCTTTATCCTGGTCCATAGTTGTGATCTATTCTTCATATGAAAGTGTGAATGATTGTAAATTGGTTTCATAATAATACTGAGTACATTGGATACTTTTTCCTCCATTCTTGAGATACTTTACTAAATAGGATATGTTCCAGCTCCATCCATATAAACACACAAGAGGGAAAGTCTCCATCTTTTTTTAAAGGTTGCATAATATTTCATGGTACACATATACCACAATTTATTAATTCATTCATGGATAGATGGACACTTAGGCTTCTTCCATGACTTGGCTATTATGAACTGAGCTGCAATGAACAATCTGGTGCAAATATCTTTTGTTATAAAGTGATTTTTAATCTTTTGAATATACTCCTAGTAGAGGAATAGCAGGATAGAACAGCAGGTCTACTTTTAGATCCCTGAGTAGTCTCCATGCTTCCTTCCAAAAGAGACATATTAGCTTGCATTCCCACCAGCATTGCAGAAGTGTTCCCTTTTCTCCACATCCATGCCAACATCTGTAGTTTGGAATTTTGTTATGTGAGTCACTCTAGAGCTTTAGAAATATAATAATCATCTTTTTCTTTCTTTTTTTTTTTTTTTTTTAGAGACAGAGTCTTACTTTGTCACCCTCGGTAGAATGCCATTGTGTCACAGCTCACAGCAACCTCCAGCTCTTGGGCTTAGGCAATTCTCTTGCCTCAGTATCCCAAGTAGCTGGGACTACAAGCGCCTGCCACAACACCTGGCTAATTTTTTGTTGCAATTTGGCTGGGTCTGGCGCTCTACTCACTGAGCCACAGGTGCCGCCCTTTTTCTTTTTTTGAGATTTTGAAACAGAGTCACCCTGGGTAGAGTGCCGTCGCATCACAGCTCACAGCAATCTCCAACTCCTGGGCTTAAGCAATTCTCTTGCCTGAGTCTCCCAAGTAGCTGAGACTGCAGGCGCTTGCCACAACACCTGGCTATTTTTTGTTGTTGTTGCAGTTATCATTATTGTTTTAGCTGGCCTAGGCCAGGTTTGAACCCACCAGCCTCAGTGTATGTGGTAGGTGCCCTACCCACTGAGCTACGGGCGCTGTCCTAGTCATTCTTTATTAATTCTTTAATAATTTATTAATCTAGAAGACCAAGCAGATTATCCTCCCAGTGTGCAAACAATTTAACCAAAGCTATCTGTAGTATACTGAAGTTTAAAATGTCTTATCTGTTTCCTAGAAACTATGAACTTACCTCCTTCATGTTCTTTTTAGTGAAATTAGAGATCCTTTTTCTAGGAAGATCAATGGAATGATCCTCAAGATTATTACAGAAGTTCCGTTTTTTAACATTGTAGGTTTCAGATGCCATAATCTCTTAAATACCTAGACAAGAAAATATAAAACATAAAAGACTTTGATGATCTCTTTAACACATATACAAACATACAAAAATAGTACCATCCTATATAAAAGAAAGTTCTAAGTAAAGCAGAGGATATACAAGGTCTGCCAAGTAAATTTGTGAACTTGTCACTGTGCACTTCTGTTGTCAGCATTATACAGACAGCCTGGTAAGGTTTTATAACCTTGGTATGTCAATGACTCACAGTGGTGTTTGTGTTGGTGTGTGGTGGTGTCTTGCTGAGTGGTGCTCATTATTGTTGTGCGGCTTTGTGTGCCCTCACGAGAATGCTGGAGCTTGAATTAGAGCATTGAACAAACATTAAATTTCTTGTTAACTTAGTAAGAATAGAAGTAAAATTAGGGACATGTCAGTCCAAGTACATGGGGTAATGCCATGAAGAAAATGGCAGTGTACAAATGAATTCAACATTTTTCTGAGGAGAGAGAAAGTGTCACTGATGAAGTGAGGTCAGGGAGATTAGTAACAGGCAAGACTAAAAAAAAAAAATGGTAAAAATTCATAGAATTGTGTGTCAAGGCCCGGCGCCTATAGCTCAACCGGCTAAGGCACCAGCCACGTACACCTAAGGTGGCAGGTTCAAATCCCCAGCCCGGGCCCGCCAAACAACAGTGAAGGCAGCAACCAAAAAATAGCCAGGCGTTGTGGCGGG